ACTCTGGCTTAAAATGGTAATGGTGGTGCTGATGGGCATGATTCTGGTGATGATGACGATGGTGATGGTGGTGTTGGAGGGTCAAGCCTACCTGCTTCTAGAAGACCAACATCTGGGGCCGGTACCAAATGCCAAATGCCGCTCTCACGTCCTGTCCCAAAGCGTCTAGCGACACATTTGGTGCCGTGACGTCCATAGACACTCTTCGGGGGTGGATAATCTATGGACAACGTGGCCGTTGTGCGTTCTGCGCGGTGCAAGGTCGGAGAAAGGTAGATCCGTCTACGGCATGTTCTTGTTCTAGAGCAGGTCCCACACGGTAGTCCAATGGAGGTGTTGCTGCTGATCCAGCTCGGAGCGAGCACGCGCCAGTACCTTCACGGGGAGGGAGGCGCACGCGCGCCCCGGCGCAGCGACGGTGGCACCTCGACCTTGCTGCGCGACTTCCCGCCTCGGGCGGCCCGTTGAGCAGAGCAGAACGGAGCGGAGCAGAATACCTGTGATTCGACGTAGAATTAGGCTAGGAGTGGGACACAGCAGAGTCGGGCAGAGGTGGCGGAGGGTAGGGTAGATCAGAGCAGGGTACATGCTAGAGTCGAGTCAGCCGCTGGCGATGGTGATGCTGCCGGTAGGGCTGGTGATGGTGCTGCTGCTGGTGAGGGTCGGGTCGGACCGGCTGTCCACGAAGGGGAGGGTCAGGCCCGGTCTGCCGGGAAAGCGTCAAGCCCGCCTGGGCCTGGCGGTCGTGGGGGGGGGGCTCGGCCCTGGCGGGGCCAGGAAGAGCTCAGGGGTCCAAACTCCAAGAGCGCTTCCAGGGCAGGGGCAAGACCTCAAACGAAGTGCGGCCTCGACTGAGCTCAGGGGTCCTAACTCCGAGAGCGCTTCCAGGACAGGGGCAAGACTTCAGACGAAACACGGCCTCGACTGCGCGCAAAGTCCCTCCCGCCCCCCCCCCCCCAAACCTCCGCGAACGCGCCGCCCGAGAAGGCGCCCTCGACGTCAGCCGTGAGGCGACGCCCCGCGCGCAGATTCCGTCCACGCAGGGCCTCGGGTTGCGCGCAGACGGAGTCCCCGGGTGGCCCCAGCAGCCCCCCCCCCGCCCGAGATCGGGGGCGGCAAAGAGGGGGGGGGGGGGGATACCATGGCGTGGGCCATGATATTCCCCCAGACTTCACGGCGCCCCTTCTTACTTCATGACGTCCCTGGCCCCCCCCGCTGGGCCGCGCACATGCCGCCCGTCATGATTTGCACCCCCCCCTCTTGGACACCCCCCCTCTTGGACACACCCCCCCCCCTTGGCCGGCCCCCCTCTCTGGCCGCTCCCGGCGAGAGGCCCGAGAGGCGGTCTCGGCACGCCCCGCCCCAGGGGGGGGCACGGGGCGCCCCCCGACGGGGCGGCGCCGCAGGCGGCTCTCCTCGAGGTGCCGAGGCGGCCCCGGGGACTGCTCGGGAGGCCCCGCGGAGGCCGGCCGGGACTGGAGCGGAGGTCTGGACGCCCGAGGTGGGTACGGAAAGAATGGGCACGATGCCCAGCAGCAGTTCCTGTTCATTTTGAACAGGACTCCCTGTCTACGCCGCCGCGGCCTCTGTCCATTCGAGACGGAAGGCCGCCTGCCCAACAGCGGCAGCTGTTGGTTCGGGACAACATTTGCTGTCGGGCATTGTGCCCACTGTTTCCGTACCCATTTCGGGCGTCCAAAAAGAGGCGCCCCGCTTGCCTCCAGGGTGCCCCGGGTGTCTCTCGGGTGTCAGCGGCTTTGCAATGGAGGGCGCGGCGTGGCCACACCAGGAGTCTCAAGGGACGTCTTGGGGTCTCGGGGTCGGGTTTCTTGCGAGAGGCTTCTTGTGGATCGGCCCCCACTGTTCATGCGGGGGCCGTCTATGCACAAACTGGAGCCTGACCAAAGCCCATCCTCCTCGTCGGGCGTGCCTTGGCGGCGAGCAGCAAGGGGGAGCAGTGAGAAGGGGCGGGCCTTCTCGGAGGGCTCGGAAGCCCCCCGGCCTTCGGAGAAGTTTTCGAGGTCTTCCCCGAAGTCACAGCACACTTCTGAGAAGGCGCGAGGGCGTCCGAGAAGTCCCGCCGCCTTCTGAGGAAGGCCTTTTCCTTCTCACGTCCCCCCCTTGCTCGCCGCCGAATTTGGTTTTTGGTCATAACTCGGGTCTCTGGCGAGCGTTCGGGACGATCCGGGCACCCCTGGAACGCTCGCGGCGAGGCGCAGCTGCTGGCAAGCATCCCGAGGCTGAAGAAGCGCCCAGAACCAACGAAAACGTCCGAAAGCCTCGAAACCCGAAACTTCGAACCTCGCACCTCGAACCTCGCGGAGTGTCTGTCTTGCCTGCCTTTCCACGCCGAAACCTCGGAGAGGAGTCCTGCCAGGACCTCGCCGACGGCACCGCGAGGCTGGAGGGCGGCTCCGCGGGCCCCGCTGGCGCTCCCGGCGTGCCGGGGGCCTGGCCCTGTGACGCGGAGCACGCCCCGAGCCCCGCAGACATAGTGTGAGCCCCAGGTCGGGCGACGAAGTCTAGACAGAGGTGATCCTTGTCTGATGCATTGTTTTGCCGATCGGCGCGGGCCCTCGCCTCCCCCCCCTACCCACCTCCACGGAGTAGATCTTGGCTGTTTGGGGCGCGTGCTCGAGCGGGTGGAGTCTCCCTCATAGGACGCACTGTTACGAACAGTCGCACTTCCCCCCTTCCCCCCCTTCCCCCCCCCCCCCCCCCCTTCTCCCCCCCCCCCCTCCCTTCCCCCCCATTTCCCCCCCCCCCTTCCGCCCAATGCCGACACGCCGAATAAGAACAGTTCACTAGGGCGTTCCGAAAAGAGCCCTGCCTTCGAGGACAGAAGAAGCTGGCATCTCTTCCTCGGCGGAAGGCGGCGGAAGTAGAGCAAGGCCGCCTCCTCCGGCGGAAGCCCGCGGGAGCTCGGCGGGGGTGCGCAGGCGCGGGGTCGAGGCACAGTTGCCTCCTGGTCACGTGCCTGCCTTCCCCCCTTCGGGCACCATCCGTCCTTTCGGTTGCGCCGCGGTTTCTGCGGTAGTTTTTAGTTGCCCCCGCGAAGTTTCCTTGGGAATGGGAGTAGCGTCCAAAAAAGGAAGCTCGGCGGAAGGCGGCGGAAGTAAAAAGTGCGCCCCCAAGCAAGAGATGAAAACTTTTTTGGGTCCAGGGTTTTCGAAACCGCCCGCATAGCCACTGCTCCCTGGCCAGGCCCATCCTGAACCCAGGAGCTGTGCATACGCCTTCCTGGCCGAGCCACGAGGGCGTTGCGTACGCACCGCTGCTGGGTTCCGAAGGGGCCCGGTCAGGGAGCAGTGGAGATGTATAGTATGGATTCCGTCGCCCTCCCAAAGCTACGCCGCGTCTTCGGGCGGCCTCGTCTGTCCTGTGACTGGCAGTGCCTCTGTTGTTGCATCCCGCGCGGATTCGACGAGGACTCGAAGGAGATTCGACATGTGTGCGATCTTTGATGGATTCGACGTTGATTCGACGCGGATAGCGGCGCAACGGGACAAGGGAGGGCCCCCCCCCTAAGATGCAGCGGACATAGTTTGGGTCCCGCGGTGCCCCTTGCGGGGGTATGTAGCCTAGGTAGGGCAAGTATTTGCATGTCTTATTGCTTCGAAGAAGAAAAACGCCATAGACATAAACTTTCGGCGCTCCGCACGGATTTCTGGGATCCGCGCTGGGGCCCCCTGGCGGCGCCTCTGGCGCCCCCCCCTGGCGCGCTCCGCGCGCCAGGGAGGGGGGTCCAGCGCAGATCCAGGAAATCCGCGCGGAGCGCCAAAAGGTGATGTTTATGAAACTTGTTCTCCTTCTATGAATGTATTATTGCTGCATGTCTGATTAATTGGGCACCTCTCGCATTCGAGGTCCGCACGGCTACGCCGCGGCCAATAGTAGGCACAATCAGTTTTTTTGTCAGTCGTGCAACAGTTGTGCTGCGGTGTGCTCAGTGTCGCTGCCCTCTTGTGTGCAAATGCCCTCACCCCAGGGCATGCTGCGGGAGGCATCCATGAGCAAGCACGCTGTGTCTGCGCCAGCGGGTGTACTTGCTCCACGCCCGCCCACGGCACCGAATTCACAGCGAGTGCAGCTTATCAGCTGCCTGGTCTGGCCCCGTGCGCACTGCTGCTAGGTTGCGATGACTGGAGGCTAAGCTCGGCATCGGGGCTAGTTCACTCGTTGTTAACACAGGTCCTGTCAATGTCGTTCAATCCCGGTCCATCCGGTGTATGAACAATGGCCTTAGCCCGTGAACCGCGATCAAGAGTCCTTGGGTCGGGATTGACAGTCCCTAGTCGTTCCCGCGAAGATTGGGTCGAACGAAAAAGGGGGGCGTCAAATCTGCTGCGTGCCGTTGGTTTCAGCTCTGCAGACAGGCACCTTTCTCGATACATTGGCGTCTCCAGCGCCGGGAAACGACGGGAAAATCAGCTACGTGAGTTGATTCTATCCCCCGTTTATTCCGACCCGAGAAGACTCAGAAAACGTCCCAGGAGTTGCCTCAGGAATGTATGCAATGCATCGCCAGCGCACGGGGAAACTGTGTTCCACGACCACAGGGAAGCAACGGATCTCTCTCTCTCTCTCTCTCTCTATATATATATGCATACACACATGCTTCTATCCATATATATATATATGTACACTACCAATTGTATAAATAAGATATGTAGATGCATGTATTTTCATGCATGTGTATGTAATCGTCCTGCCACCCCACCCGAGGCGCCCGACCACATCCATGTCCGCCGCCTCCCAAGGTCCAGGAAGTGCAGGTCCCCAGGTGGAGGATGCGTGCGGTGGTGGGGACGTTCGAAGGAATGTGCCCAGGAGGTTCCGACTCAGATCCCTGATCCCCCCTCCTCCCCCCTCGTCCCCCCTCCTCCCCCCTCCTCCCCCCTCCCCTCTCCTCCCCCCGGCCCCCTCCCCCCCTGGAGGATTCCTTATAGGATTTTGATGGCGGTGATCTCCGTGGCCAGGCCTCCACTGGCGTTCCACCGGCTTCCAGGCCTTGGCCGCCCAATGCCAGGAGGTGAACCCCTGGCCCACGGGGCGGAGCGGGGGCGTCGATGCTGCTCTCCGGGGCCCCCCTGGCGAGTCGCCGAGGTGCCCCTCCGCGCCGAAGAGGCTCTGGGTCCTGCCCTGGTGGCCCATGATGCTAAGCTGCCCGTCGAGCTCCGTGGCGGGGCCTCAGTTGCCTCCCCCGCGGGGGGGGGGGCGGTCGGGCCAGGCCCCAGGGCGCCGCCAGCGTCGGCAGCACGGAGATCCCCACCGAGATCCGCCTCCTGCGGTGTCGGCTCCTGGACCTGCACCGTGCCGCTGAGAACGTCCAGGAGGGCGTCGCACTGTGTCTCCTCTTCGAGGCCGTGCAGCTGGGCCCTGAAGAGCTCCATCACCGAGGCCAGGAGACCACTGTGGGGGACGATCAACGAAGAGGAAGCATGCTGCCAAATAACTTCCATATGTTCAAACATATTTTTCTGTTTAAAGAAGTGTTAAACATGTAAACACATGTTTTAAGCATGTTTGGAACATGCTTCAATCATTTTGAAACACATGTTTAATTCAACGGTAGGACTATTAGGGTGTCCATTGTCGTGGCACTCACAAGTATACCAAGGGGCACCTGGGCGTGGCTGCCATGCCAGGCGGCGCGGGGTGCTTTGCCCAGCTGCACGCGCTGCACACGCCTCCGCCGCGTCAGCACACGGCCCAGCGCAACCCGCCCCGAGCAGCCCCGCAGCGCCTCCAGGGCGCCGCCCAGCGCGGCCGCACGGGCCCCGACAGCGTCGGCCACCTGCCAATGAAGTGCCAGCCCGCGTCGCACGAGGGCCGTGCGCCGCGCGAGCCCCCGAGCGCGGCTGCCGCCGAGCTCCGCTTCGAACTCCCGCCGGCGCCGGCGCGCGAGGTTGCGGGGCAGAGGCGGCCGGTTCGCGCCTGCCTGCCCGCCTGGCGCCGCCGCCGATGCCCGTGGGGCCAGCCTCCATGGCCGCTTGCGCGACCCAGGGCGCCCCCCCGAGCGCGCGGTGCGTGCGCCTCCCGTGACTGCTCACTGGAACCAAAGAGGAGGAGGAGGAGGAGGAGCAAGAGGAGGAGGAGGCGGGAGGAGAGAAGAGGCGGAGGGATTCGGGGGGGGGCGAGGAGGAGGCGATAGAGGATGAAGGGTGGCAGACACCGACGGTGCGTTCTCCAGGACGAGGAGGGGAGGAAGGAAGTTTTCCTGGGCCCCAGACTCGAGCTGGGAAATTGCAAAGGGAGAGGGTTGAGGAGAGGTGGAGCTGACCTTTGATTCTCGCCATGCTCTGGGAGTTCCTGGCCAGACGGATTTCCCGGAGCAAGGCGAGGACGAGGTCGACGCAGGAGGGAGGGGGAGGGTCACGTTGACGGAGGAGTGTCGAGGGAGGTTCGGAGGGGCGAGGAGGGGGAACGGACGAGGGAGGAGTGGCATTCCCCCCTGCTGTCGCGCGTGGCGAGTAGAGGAGCATCTTGTTTGGCTTGACCGCCCGCGTTGCCGCCTGACGGGTAGAGTAGTTTTCGCCCTCTTGCGCTACCAAGTGACGAGTGGAGTCGGATAGTGGTGCTTCCGCCCCCTGCGATGCCACGCGGCGAGTAGAGTAGAGCCACGTTTGCTCGCTTCCCCCAAGGCGTTGACAAGTTGCCTGTGGAGCGTAATGTTATGTTTTCTGCCGCCCTGCATTGCCGCTCGGCGGGTAGGATGGACAAGTATTTGTTCCGTTCTGCGTTGCCACGCGGCCAGCATAATATAATGGTATGTGTTTCGCCCCCAGGCGTGGCCAAGTGACGAGTAGAGCAAAATAGGCGTTGCCTTTAGGCGATGCCGTCTGATGGGCAGAGTCGACCGTCGATAACTTCCGCAGGATTTCGCACAGACAGACGGATCTGGGGAGTTCGCTGGGTGCCTGACGATGTATTGTGGGTTCTTTGAAATTCCTGAGGCGTTGGGTAATAACTCAGTGGCTGAATGGGGGGAGGGGGGGGGCTTCGGTTTGGGGCTGTCCAAAGGGAGTGGGATGAGGGAGTTTGCAGCCGCTCTCCGATTCCCCGCTATGTTCTGGGAGTGTCTGGCCGGACGGATTCCCTAGAACATGGCGGGGAGGAGTTCGAGGTAGGGAGGGTGACGTTGACGGAGGAGTGTTGGAGGAGGTTCGGATGAGTTTTGGTCCTCATCCGTTGTCGTCACCGTCGCCGCCCTCATCACCGTCGTCGCCCTCGTTTCTGCCGTCGTCGTCGCCGTCGCCGTCGCACGAGGCGGGTGATCAGGGCTTTTGCTGTTGGCTCTCCCCCGCGTTGCCACACGACAGGTCGAGCACAGCACGAGTTGAGTCCGCCCATTTGTGTTGCCACGTAACCAGTAGAGTAGGATTGTAGAGTTTCGCCCCAGGCTTTGTTACGCTGGGGGTAAAGAGTAGTAGTGAAAGTAGTAGTAGAAGTAGTAGTAGTAGTAGTAGTTGTTGTAGTGGTACTACTACTACTACTACT